ATGGGTTATATACGTAACTGGAGTTCTACTGGAGTAAAACAGCCGATTGACCTTAATCTCGAAATTACAATGCATTGTGGTCTATTTAGGGGTGCCACTAACCCCAAAATATAATTGTTGGTAGCTCATCTTTATCAAGTTTTCACTGCCAAAGTTGCCGGATATATTATATTGTCATTAAATGAGTTCTAACAGCAAGAAAAAAACAATGGCAAAATAATTTGCAATCCATCTTATCCAACTAAGTAATCCAACCATGCTCGAATCCATCACGTGAGATCTTTCTTCTTGACCATGACATAGATACACAGGACATGAAACGTCCATGTGATAGCGTAATTAGTTCATGTGTTCAGATCTTTACCATTTTTGAGAGATTCACATTAACAAATATCTCCATAGACGCTTCCAAATTGGAGTCTTGAGTCTTGCCTTTTATCAGTTTATCACCTGATAATCCAACTTGCCCACGTGACCACACGATTTGATCACATGCACACCACGTAGACATTACATGATAAATTGATTTGTCCACGTGATAACATGATTTGAACACGTGAACATCATGTTCACATCACATGATAGATCAACTTGTCACGTGACGAGATGATTTCATCACGTGCACCCCACGTGAGTCCAAGAATTCTTCAGAGAAACGGATGAAAAAAATCTGAAGGTGCTTTAGATTGGAATTCTGGCAGAGATTTTTGATCAGATATCGGTGGTTGGGAGATATCGATGAATGATACCGACGAGACAACTTCAACATACTGACTTGCCGAACCACTGCCTTGGCAAAATTGACCAATACACTAAAATTGAAGAAATTTTAAAGAAATCAATAACTGAGATATCAATGTATTAAATCGAACAAACATTTTTGACAATGCTAAACATTGGCATAAAATAGCCTATGAAATCTACATGTGTAAACCATAGATATTTTATATACACAAGATAGACTTAGATAGTGCATCTAATTATTCTGCAATTCAAAAATTGAAGCCGTGATTGCAGACTCAGGATATTCCCATGAAATGAGAAGAATCGTATGTTTTCTATTTCTTAAACAGGGAACTTAAACATTAAGTTAAACGTATTCCAAATACATTTTCAAACTATTCAAATGATGAAAGTTATTGTTGTTTTTCAAGCGTTTATTAGCGAATTAGCGAGTGGGAAACTCCAACATGACCGCTATCTATTCAAATGGGGGTAACAGCTGGAATATTCTTGGCTTCAATTTTACTAAAAGAGATGCGCTATCTAGTGTATATGAGATATCTATGGTGTAAGCTTGTTATTGTTTTAGTTGTGGTAAAAACCGCATGTACGGCATATTTATTTGAAATATAATATTTCTGAAAAAACTTAAGTACAATTCGTCCTAAAGTACATTGCCTGGCAGGAAAATGCATGTCACCAAATCGATAGTTTGTTAATGCGAAGGCCTCACGACGTTGTCCCACGAGTTATGTTTCTTAGGCGTTTGTCATAAGAAATATTAGTAATATTGTAAGCTGCGAGATTGCAAAATCGGCTTGCGAGATTGCAAAATTGAAAATTCAATGGGAAATAATTTGAAATTTAAGTTGGCTTCAATGAAATACCGAATGAAATACCTAGTTTTTCTGCTATATTAAATCAAACAGTGTATAGCTTTTTGGCCACTCGGTATATACCTTTAGTGTAGGGTCCGAGGTAGGGTCTTACCTGATAAACGATTTCCTGAGGTTGTTCATATTTGAAACGTACTCCGATAATCTGTAAAGAAAGCATTTAACTCAGTTCACTGATTGAGCTCAAGACCACACACCTTTTTCCAGCGTTATCATTTGCGGGGGGGGGGGGGGGGGGTTATCAACTTTAGGGTAAGAGGTTAGGGTTGAGATTAGCATTACCATTTGGATTAAGGTTATTGTAATCGTACACCCATTGCAACCCAATACTTTATTGCATACAATGGCTTTACAACTATTTAGATTATTGGTTACAAGGTGCGGAACAATTTTTCGCCTTACGAACATATTTTTTTTGAAATTGTGAAGACTGCAGAGTATCCATGATACTGTACCTTGGCTTGTGGGTTTGCCAAATACCCAACATTAGCAAACAATATTTCAATGCTCATACCAAGAACCATATCGGAGCACACGCCTCCACTACCACTGGCCTGAAAACGAAAATAACAGACACTTCAGGACTTATATTGAAGGGACTTGCAATTCGATTCTAAGGGACCGGTCATTAATTACAGGGGATGGGGCTGAGATTTGAAATGAAAAATTAGATGCTGAAATTTTGCCCCTTGAGGATAACACAATTATACTTGACGCCCCCCCCCCCACCCCAGCCCCCCCCCCACACACACACACATGCAAATAACAAAAGGCACATTCGTAATTTAAATGGCATGAATCGTGTATATATACGTGCATAGGTTATGTATAAATATCAAGATTGTGTTGGCGTCTCACTCGAATGAATAATTTACCTACCGTATTCGCAGGTTTATCATTAATGATTTTCACCCAATCAGCGGCATTCTGGACATCTGAATTACCAAAACTCGCGACATAGTCTGGAGGACTGGTGCCAAGTAAAGCAGCGTAGACCATGTCTTGCAGTAAAGAACAATCAGATGTCCGGTTGAGTCTAAATGTGAAAATGCACAAATTGTAACAAACCTGCAGCAGACTTGCAGCAATACTGTTCCAACAACTTGTCAACAGGATGTGTTCGCCAGGGCCGTAGCGACCGGGGGATGTTGCTCATGAGCCGATTTCAGGTAGATTTCCAGAAGATTTTCAGGTAAATTCAGGTATTTCTCAGGGCATGAGAAAGTATTTTGTGGAAAATTAAGATATATCCGGAAATTTTTTTTTGTATGTTTGCGAAAATTACAGTATATTAGGAAAAATTTTTGGTATGTCCGGAAAAAATGTTTGTGACCTAATCCCCCCCCCGGCCCTGGTGTTCGCACTGCTTGTTCCCAACTTGTTGGCAAGTTTTTAACAGCCTGTTACAACTTGCTATAAGGTTGTTGAGCTCAACAGACTTGTTACAAATTGTTCCAACAACTTGTTATCCTTCCTGCAATTCAACATTTGTCAACAAGTTACGAGTGACAACCTTGTAGCAACTTGATGAAATATCAGCATTGTTACAACTTGTTGACAAGCTTGCTACAAGCCTGTTGCGAACACATCTTGTTGGCAAGTTGTGAGATTTTTAAGGGTGTAGCCTTGTTCCAACAACTTGTCAACAGAATGTGTTCGCACTGCTTGTTCCCAGTCTGTTGGCAAGTTGTTAACAGCTTGTTGACAACTTGCTACAAGGTTGTTGAGCTCAACAGACTTGTTACAAATTGTTCCAACAACTTGTTATCCTTCCTGCAATTCAACAATTTGTCAACAAGTTACGAGTGACAACCTTGTAGCAACTTGATGAAATAACAGCATTGTTACAACTTGTTGACAAGCTTGTTACAAGCCTGTTGCGAACACATCTTGTTGACAAGTTGTGTGAACAACGTCAACAGAATGTGTTCCCATAGCGGACACAGTCTTGGGCAGACGTTAACTTTTGAGGTCAAGGTTGTTGAGCTCAACAGACTTGTTACAAATTGTTCCAACAACTTGTTATCCTTCCTGCAATTCAACAATTTGTCAACAAGTTACGAGTGACAACCTTGTAGCAACTTGATGAAATAACAGCATTGTTACAAGCCTGTTGCGAACACATCTTGTTGACAAGTTGTGAGATTTTTACGGGTGTAGCCTTGCTGTTACCTTATCATACATCCAGATCTTGTGTTCACATCAAAAGTCACTGACAATCGCTCATTCACTCCAGAACTACAAGATCCATCCACCGTAGCCTTGGGAACAGTCAGCCATTCTTTGCTGTTCGTACTTAATATGATAGCTTTCCTGAAAATAGTAAAAGACCACGAGTTAGTTCGACTGAAGGATTGATAAGAATACGAATCCATCACTGGCACAATCCATACAAGATCATACTTATTTGTGGCTAGATTATGTTGTAGAAGTCCAGCTAGTATCGGTTGATCAACTAAATATCCAGGATTTCCAGATTTCGTAAAGACGTCCTCCTTTCCTTCCTAAAAAGATCACAAATCATCACAGCTTAAACCCACCATTGTATCGAGGGTAATGAAAGGAGAGGTGGGGAGTGGGTGGGGGAGTGGTCGAGGGAGTGAGTGGGGGCATGTGTTGGGCGGGGGTGTGGTCGTGGGGGCGGGGGTGTTGATCCCATTTCCAAAATTTTTTAGACCAAATCCCAGTGTCCTAACTGCGAGATTGAAAGAAAATCCCAAAGTAAGTGGTTCATCTTTGTGATGACTTTTAAAACATTACTCTACATTTAATTGCTCTATTTTAGAAACGGTTTTGCTGTGGAAAAGGTTTCACGTATATCAACCTGTTAATTTCTACAATTACACAAAACAGGCAAAGCTCATGCGTGCAAGTAGATCACTGGATTCGCAATAGCAGGTAAAAATAACCTCATCGAGCCAGAACTCGGTTAAATGCAGTTGCCCTGGACTACACACATAAAAATCTCACAACTTGTCAACAAGATGTGTTCGCAACAGGCTTGTAGCAAGCTTGTCATGTTAGTCAACATGTTGTAACAATGCATTCTCGTACCCAGAGCCCTTCTTACGCGCGGTGCGATGAGGGACTCTGGCCAAATCCATATCAAACTGGCACCTGAATGGCTACAACGAAGGTTATGGTTCTAATACCGGATATATTCTTTTACCATATTTTTATGGTATCCGGTTTTGGATTTGGCCAGAGCCCCTCGTTGCACCGCGCGTAAGAAGGGCTCTGGGTGCGAGAATGGTAACAATGTTGTTATTTTATCAACTTGCTACAAGGTTTTCACTCACAACCTGTTGACAAATTGTTGAATTGCAGGACGATAACAAGTTGTTGGAACAAATTGTAACAAGTCTGTTGAGCTCAACAACCTTGTAGCAAGTTGTCAACAAGTCGTGGAAAAGCCGGTACGAAAAGATCATTGTCCGGCACAATTGGATAGTTGACGGACAGTTTGTCCGGCAGTATATTAATACAACTATTGGTGAAACAGTCTGTAACTGGCATTAAAAAAATTTCATTATATTTCAAAAAAATTTGTTACTAAGCTTTTCATTGGCTTCTTTTATTTCAAGGACCACGGAAAACTATATTTGCTCTATTGCGTTCATATTTTTTGTTAGGCACAAAATGTCCAGTGTCAGGCACAATCATTTGGTACCGGACACTTTGTCAGGTACCGTTGGAAATTTATTTTCAGGCTTGGAAATGTCCACAGAAAACTTTCTCTACAATGGTATACCCTGGGCTTATATACTTTCGTAAGCGATTTTTGATGGGCTTATACAAAGGGGGGCTTATATACGGGGGGGGCTTATACATGGACGATCTTTTGTGTTAGTAATAAACAAGTCAGACATAAACAAGTCAGTCATAAACAGGGAAATAAATGTGTATTAAGCAACGATTACTGGGCTTATATTAATTGGGGGACTTATATTCGGGGGGCTTATGTTCGGGTGGGCTTATATTCGGGGGGGGGCTTATATTTGGAATGAGGTGAGCGTTAGTACATGTGGTGGGCTTATACACGGGGGGGGGGCTTATATTCGGGGGTGGCTTATAGTCGGAGGTTTACGGTATAGTTTTTCCATGCCCATTTTTGTGTCTGTCATTCCCAGTACCCACACTGGACGTCACATGGTGAATATTTACTGTAAATACCTTGAGAAATTTGATCGAAAATTTCTGTAGAAAATTGTCTCGAATATTTTCAAGAACAAACGAGACATTCAGTTGCTCCAAGTTGGAACTTTCGTTAGAGTAAATAAATGTATAGGCGACCTAAAAATAATATAAACAAAAAAAGATATTTAATTTTTTGGGCGAAAAAATATTAGTATTTGGACGAGCATCAACAGTAATGACGTGTCGTTAATGTACAGTATAACATTGGTTGTATTATAAAACTGTATAGTATACTAGAATAGACTATATAGACTATATTATTATATGTGCAATGAGTAATATTTGAATGCCATTCAAATATTGTATATATTCAATTATTATTCAAATATTATTAGAAGATTATTAGAATAATATTAGAAAATTATTACAATATTATTAGAATATTATTCGAATTAGAATATTATTTGAATATTATTATTTATGTACTATTTATAACATGAACAGCAGTGTTTTAAAATACCTAAAGATACTCGGCTTCGCCTTTTAAATACCGTATTTACTCGTTTGAGCGCCGCCCCCGATTGAGCGCCGCCCCCGAATGAGCGCCGCATTTGAGATCATTTTTTTTTAAAGAGCGCCGCCCCCGAATGAGCGCCGCACTAAACAGTGTAAAAACTTTCAGCCGTCAAAATGGGGACATTTAGTAACAAAACCTTTTAAAACTTGTCTATTTTATAGTTAAAAGTTCTTGTCATAATTCACAAATAAAATATTTTTTAAAGAGCGCCGCCTCCGATTGACCGCTGCCCCTGAATGAGCGCCGCATCTGAAACTCTGAAAATTTAAAGAGCGCCGCGGCGCTTAAACGAGTAAATACGGTAGTGCTTAGAATATATCATTTGAATATTTAACAATTATTCGCCGAAGGCGAGGTGATTATCGGGGAATATTCGCCGAGACGAAGTCGAGGTGAATATTTCCCGATAATCACCGAGCCTGAGGCGAATAATTGTTTTAGTATTTTTACACAAGTCTTTTGTGCTTTTAAGACTGCATTTATTTTAATTTCGCTTATTTCTTTATCGGTAACTTCCACAAAACGGCTAGCCGCCATTTTGAAAATTTCGGTTTTGTTATATTCACCTGTAGGTGAATATAACAAATTTAATACGTCAAATTTGACCAATCAACTTGTAGGATTTGTTGTTTTCACTTGTGCAAAAATACTAAATTAAATATTAGAATATTATTCGAATATCAAATTCCTTCAGGATATTAAGGAATTTAGGATATTAAAAAAACATCTGCACCTATTCTATTTTAACCCATTAAGTGCCAGCGCTCTCTCCTTGACGAGTAAAATCGTCTGGCGTTAGACAGAGTAAAATAATCTGGCGTTAGACAGAGTAAAATAATAGAGTAGGGTGCGATGTGCCTCAATGGGTTAATAATATTGGAATATTATTAGAATGGAATAGACACAAATTTATCAAAATTGTGAGGATGCATTTTAACATCTCACCTCTGTGACGACATTCTCACACGTGTTTGTAGTCATGTTATAGACTGGCACAGAAGGTGAAGTAAAACTACACTGATTTAGCACTCCAGTGTTGTCACGACACAGTAATGGTACGGACAGCTGAGGTGTGAACAATAGAGATGTGTTGAAACTTCCAGATCTTGCTGATGAATTTGAAGTTGTGTTTCGCGAGAGTAAAAACGCCTGTGGAGACTAGAGAATATAGTAACAATAGATTACTGAACCTATATAGAATTCATGTAATTTACAGGATATCCCAAAAAATGCAATACTGTAGCTGTATTCCAGAAATGAGAGAGTTTACGATTCACAACGCGGCTAGAGAAGACGTGTTAAAAAGGTTTGGTAACTAGCGCGGCCAACGCGTCTTGTGTAATTCCATTCTCGTACCCAGAGCCCTTCTTACGCGCGGTGCGACGAGGGGCTCTGGCCAAATCCAAAACCGGATACCATAAAAACATGGTAAAAGAATATATCCGGTATTAGAACAATAACCTTCGTTGTAGCCAATCAGATGCCAGTTTGATATGGATTTGGCCAGAGCCCCTCGTCGCACCGCGCGTAAGAAGGGCTCTGGGTACGAATTTTGTCAATTTCACGTTGTGATCACTACGCTGCGAATTTCAAATGACTATCGAATACTTTTACATTGAAAACGTGAATTTAACTTCTTAACTTTTGATTTTTAATGTAGTAGTGCCTTTGATTACATTTTCTGTGATGTTTAAACAAAACTACAAAGATTTTGAAAAAAACCCAATAATTTTCCCGCCAAAATAAACGTAATAGAATAAGGCGGCTTGGGCCGCGCTAGTTACCAAGCCTTTCTAACACGTCTTCTCTCACCGTGTCGTGAATCGTAAACTCTCTTTACACAGCTAATTATTATTAGACATCAAAAATTCAATTAAAAGTTTCTCTGGTTGAACCAATTTTAATGCTGTTTAAACTAAGGGACCATTAAACTTTTTCACGCTAATAATACAAATTGGGATGTGAACCCATTAAGTGCCTGTACACTCCCCTTGACAAGCAAAATCATCTGGCATTAGACAGAGTAAAATAATAAAGTAGGGCGCATTGGGCACATTGCCACTAGTGGACAGAGAATCTGATTAACCCCTCTCGCCTTGTCGAGTTAACTTGTCTGGTGTTAAATAGAGTAAAATAATAAAGTACCGTAGGACACATTGGGCACATTGCCAATAGCGCTACATTGCCATTTAAAGGCTGTTAATTTATATATTGAGTTGGTATTATTGACACTTTTTAAACTGCATACCACTGCCACTTGAAAATTTGAGTAATAACTTGCAGCTGACAACATGGGTAAGTTAGAACACTCTGAGGACAAATCAGAGAAACTTCGCACACATTCTGTCGCGTCATCTTGAAAATATCCTGAAAAAATGAAACATTCACTATAAGATCAAGCTTTGGGTTGATATAGGGATACAACTAGCTGAAAAATACAAGGAGAACCTCAACGTTTTAAATGAAGGCTCTTTGTTAGAAATAGGGGTGCACCGAAACCAATTTTTAATGTTCTAGCCGGAACTGGAAAAAAGTTCAGGCCAGAAGTTTCGGCCGGAAACAGAACTGATTTATTAAGCCATAAATAGTCACTTTGTCCGCTGCCAGACAGGCAGACACTTCAAGTCATCAAGGAGAGAGCTCGCAAATGTTAGAATAAAAAGATTGACAAACGTTGAACGTCATAATGAAGTGTTAATGGTGTATATTTTCCTTGTGTAGTCCAAATTTCGTCATACTGTAAACTTTTGTTAGAAACAAAAACGTTTGATATTCTATCTCTCTGAAAACAACAGAGTTCCAGTTCCGGCCATGCTTTTTTTATTAGTTCCGGCTGGAACCGAAACTCTGAAAAATCTGGGTTCTGGTGCACCACTACTGTAGTTAGGAAGTTATTAAAAATACAGGAGAACTTCAACGTTTTGAAAGAAGTAACTTCCCAACGAATTAAGGGCCTTCACTCGAAGCATTGAAGTTTCACTTACAATTATTTTTCAGGTAGTTGTATCCCTATCAAACCAAAGGCAAAGCTTTCTTATAATTGCCACGACCTAGACTGGCACAGACTGTTCAAAATTATAACGACTATAACCAAGCAACAATTGACCACTTGCGTAATAGACAAAATTTTGATCTCAACAAGTCTAGACAAAAATTTCATTACAGCTTGAAAGAGCATCACAAAATTAGTAATATTCCAAAGTTTCGTTGCGAAATGTTGTAAAATGCGGATAATATAGCCTTGCGAAGTTTGCCGTTTTTCAGTCATTTTGTATTACAAACGGGAAATTGACAGCCCCAAAGGGTATTATTGGTCTGTCAATTTCCCCTGCGTAATAGAAAATAACTGAAAAATAACAAACTTTGCAAGGTTATATTATCCGCATTTTACAACATTTCGCAACGAAACTTTGGAATATTACTAATTTTGTGATGCTCTTTCAAGCTGTGATGAAATTTTTGTCCAGACTTGTTGAGATCAAAATTTTGTCTATTACGCAAGTGGTCAATTGCCCAACTAGAAGTACAGTATAATACTAAATAGACTCAATACAATATACATAATTTTCTGGAAGATACATAAATTTACCTGCAGTATTGTAGTCGTTGCAACTTGAAGAATGAAGCATGATTGGAAGTGCTAAATATCCCTTCACTTGGTTTGAAAACACCAGGATTATTTTATCACCAACCTAGGAAGCCACAATAGGCTGTACTGTTTATTGCACTCTTGCCTGAACAGCCTCATTTTCACGTGGGTATTTCCTCATGTTCCGTGCAAAATAGGGTTAAGGATATGGATTAAGATTAAGACCAAAGAAATGCATATTATTTAGATTCAGTCCATGGCTTCATAGGCGTACAAGGCAGGGAGCAGGGGGGGGGGACTTCCCCCCACCCCACACTTTGGAAAACCATTGAAATTTGGGGAAATTCGGCCTAATGCTAGGAAAAATCAAGAATATTTGGGCAGATTTATCAAAACATATGTTAAATTCCGGTTATTTCATGACAGTTCTTCATAAAAATTCAAGGCAGTCTGTTGTAGAATGCTTCAATGATTTGTTTCTTCCACTTCACTTAGTGGAATTAATATTAGAATGTTAGGGTTTGCAACCCGCACAACCGATTACCTATATATACATGAACTTACGGTTACAGCTCTACAGCTGGTCTCTGTGGCTCAGTTGGTTGGAGCGCTGCACCGGAATCGCAGGGCCATAGGTTCATTTCCTACCAGAGGACCTTGTGCTGCATTTTTCACAATCGTTCCTCAGGTCAGGTCTTAAAATGTATATATACCGGTACTCACTTGGATTACTAACCCTAACATTCTAATGTTGTATAATGCTACTACCAGGGCAAATCCTCCCTGGGGCCCCATGACATCATTATTTTTAAGCTAGAGATCCTACTGTTAGGGGCCCTCAATTTCAAAAATGCTCTGACCAATTTAAAGAACCTACTCAATTTTACACTCTCGCTCTCAACTCTCAAGTTGGGGCCCTATTAAGGTGGGGGCCCAAGGCAATTTGCCCCCACCCCCCTCAGCAGTCCTGGTCTATTATAGAATACACACAGCACCACGTCTTTTATCTATAAAAATATTTAAAATTTTTATTATACTCAAATATTGAAGTGAAACTGTTACCTTGTAATTCTCACCCGCTAGTTGGTCAACTGTATCATCGTTCCTAGCCCCATATGAATACACGTTTCTGGCATTCACACTTTGTGTGAAATCCTCGTTACTTGTTATAACACTCACATCTGAATACTCCACTTGATCTTTGTCTGAAGTGGGATATGTAATCCATTAAAATGATTCAAAGAAATTAAAGACACATTTTTCAAAGCAAAAGCATAAATTCTACCAAAATTTTGAGCTGCATATTTATTGTGGCCATGGGTGAGTGCTGGAAATCAGGATATCAACAAACATGGCAAAATATCTATAGTCTATTTAATTAATATTAAATTTAACCGAGTTTGTTTTTAACCACACTTATCCACGACTTATTTGCACTTAATTTGTGTATTGTTCCTCATAGAATTGGCTAATTTTGTAGAAGATTTTAGCCTGCATGATTAGCTACAAACTTTATTTCTTGTTGTTTGTTTACTGCTAAAGCAACATTTGAATGGAAATGAGAACATTCAACTTCCTCACATGCTATCAAATCTTGTACACCTGCTAAAGCTATCTAATAGCCAGCGAGGACTTACTGTTATTATGATAAATGCAAAACAATCCATCCCCAGTATTCTTTGTCGTAAATGGAACATTTTGGATGAAAATCATTTGATCTGACACACAAACTCGATCATCAAAACTAAAAAGATGAAAAAGCCACGATATTCAATCAAGAGTTTGCCAAGATATTCAATCAAGAGTTTGCCAAAATATTCAATCTTTGTTTCACTGCTATAATTGTTCCCGACTCCTAAGATTATAAGCAGCAACTGAGCCAGGCTGGGTGTACATGTATATTGACTTATACATACACAACATTCTTGGTTTCTGAGCATTCAGTAAAAGTTTCTTTATCGGCTGCTGAACAGTCAACATCACAGCAACAATTTGGATCACAACCATTCACTACCAAGTCACAAATGCAACCTCAAAATAAAAAGTACTTGATATATTAAAGGGTGCTCGGTTCCTCCAAAAATATCTTGTGGTTCACGACCATACTTTCATGACCAACCTTTTTTCTGACGACCCCAATGTTTTATGAAATGTGATTTTTGAAATCTTGGGTGTGCCATTACCAAACTCTCCAGTCAGAACCAGAGAGCATACCAAATATCTCCAGTGTCCAGACTGCATTTTCTGCACCACGCACATTTTTTATGCTTTCTATATATTTACTATTAATTAAATTTTCGAAATCTCTGGCACACAATTTCCAAACTTTACAGTCTGGTCCGGTGTGAGGTTACAAAATTTGTCAGCGTATTGGCATGAGATTTATACCTCAAAGTCGTTGACCAGTAGGTTGGCATGAGATTACTTCACAGTCTTACGCACAGGATTGTCTATTTTGACATGGGTTTTGTGATGTCGGAATATTAATGAACATCAATAGTGTAAAATAGAAAGTACATGCAAAAAGGTTGTTGCCTAGGCAACAAGGAAGGAAGCACACAGTGTTTTTGGCAGTTGAAAGGAACTTAAAACATAGATAACTTTTTGTAGTTCACTAGAATATTACAGGTTTTAGTCCCAAAAGTAAAATGTTTTGAAATGTTGGCGTGATCAAGGGTTTGTATTATTATCTCCTGCATAGAATTTCAAGTGTACCCTGGAGTCAGGGTTATTATTACTTCTTGAAATGTTGTGTTGTAGCAATACCAACTGATCACACTCAAAAAATTTCAAAAAAAAATTCAACTCAAGGCTAGAGTCATTTGACAGTTTAAGTAATGTCATTAAATTTTGTTTACATCATGTATGTTTCTAGACATTTTTCGTGCTTCCATTTTCCAAAATTCCACACAAAACGATAGTTTAATACACACCTGAACTACTTCCAGTATCGACAAAACTCTGGTTAGTCTGTCCATCAGTATTAAACACGAAATAAAGTAGAAATATTACTGAAAACACTGCTCGAGCGACGGCCATATTGTTTTTGAAGTTTACCCGACCCAGTCCATCGCGAACAACGCGCCGCGGTCTGTGGTTGCCAGAATACCAGTTGACCACTGGTGGTGGATTTCCGAGTCGGTAACCGTTATCACCATAATACCATTCACACTACACAAAATCCAGTATCCTCATGAGAATGCTCACGAGTATTTTATTGGATTTTGGTATATATTTGAGCGCGCTCATGAGATACGGTACTGTAGATACCAAAATAAGGTATGCTCATAAGAGGGTCCTGAATGGGGGGTCCCAATCCCATTTCCCACCTGAAATTTTGGCAAAATCCCAGTCCCAGTTGGATTTTTATTAGAAATCCCAGTCCCAGTCATTTAAGTCCCAGTCAATAAAAAACCCTTTATTTATCGTTAGAATAAACAGTTTTAAGACCTTTTAAATTTATATATTACTGTAATAGCTTAGCTTATCCTTATCATATTCTGCATGTAAAATAATTTTCTGGCACACGCCCCCCGTGGAAATCAGCTACGGTTGACGGGGTCAGCGTGGATAAATAAAGTTCTACTACTACTTCTTCTACTACTACTACTAAGCAAGTGGCGGGCAATTTATTAGGGGGGCTCGTGCCAAAGGCACGGGAAATTTTAAAATTTGAATCCCGGAAATGGCATTTGCAGCATTCTGAGACACGCATAATCAGAAAACCCAGAATTCCGGGCGCCAGAGTATGCTTGTTCGCAGGTAGTGCTGTGAATAATATAGTTAACAACAAAAATCATGACCAAAGACACCAAAAACGGATCAAAATTGTATTTTAAAATACTCAAAACGCAGAAAAATTAGGAATCGACTCGCATTACCTCAATCCCATTCCCATTTTTGAGGACTTCATTTCCCATTCCCAGTGGCCAAATCCCAGTCCCAGCAACCCAAATCCCATTTTCCCAGTCTATATATAGACAATCCCAGTTCCCATTTTACCCTTTCAGGGCCCTCTCATAAGCACGTTCATATATCTACCAAAATCCGGAACGCTCATGAGCGCCCTCATATATACCAAAATCCAGTGTCCTCATAAAAATGCTTATGAACATATTACTGGGTTTTGGTATATAGCCAATTCAAAAAAGATTGTCCTTTGCAAACCTTAAACTCTAAATCTTAAATCTGAGACTCTAAGCGAGCAAAGCTTAATGGCAGCACAAGTTTCAAGCTTAGTAGTTGAATAGGTAAAAACTGATCCAGCTATTTGTGAATGAATTGTTCTCGTAAGGAGATACTTACCATGCCTCTAAAAATGGCCCCATATATGATTTCTAAACTGATTAAATTATGCTCCCATCATGCTTTGCACGCTTAGAGTTTAAAGTTGAAGGTTTAATTTAGAGTTTAGGGTTTGCAAAGGCCAACCTTTTTTGACTGATTAATAGCTGCATATAACTATAAGAGCGTGCTCATACATACTATAAATATTCAGCATGAACTCCACCTTTGAATTTACTATACGAGCAAATTCTTAAACACGTCCGAATTTATCATTATGATTAATTAAATTCGCGGCACATTTTGAATTTATCATAATCAGTAAATTCGCGGCATCTAACCCCTGACACTAACCCCAACACTGACCACTAACCCCTAACCCCTAACCACTAACCCTAATCTAACTTTTTTATTTTTTTTGAACATCTAACTTTTTAAACTTTTTTTCTTTTTAAAACTTTTTAAAACTTTTTAAAACTTTTTTTCTTGAAAATCATATCATAATGATAAATTCGAACGTGTTTAAGAATTTACTCATATAGTAAATTCAAAGGTGGAGCTCATGTTGTAAATCATATTATACTTCAGGCTGCTTCACACAGTATTTTAATTTCCTCAAAACACAATACAGTGCATGTAATACAACAGAATTCTAAAAACAATAAACATTATTTTCTAAATTACTTTGAATTTGTACTCGAGTAAAAGTAGAAGTAATTAACAATAAAACGACTTGAGTAAGAATAAAAAGTACTGAAGGCAAACGTACTTAAGTAAAAAGTACAAAGTATTCTTAAAAAAATACTTGAAGTAAAAAGTAAAAGTACTATTGTCTGTAGCGTGTAGGGGGGGGGGCTTCTTCAATGGATTGACATACAAAAGACACGAAACAGCACACACAATATATGCGTGCACCTAATATACAATATTTCACGGCATGGTCTACTTTGCAGACCACGTTAAAGATATAAGAAATCCATTAAATAAATAATGCTTATATAAGTAAGGCACAAACGAGAGATCCCAGACGCATGTAGAGGTCCTATTACCTGTCCCAAAATTAATATAAATCACGAATAAATCACGTAAAATTAAACAAAAGTTAGTAACGAAATACTTCGCCACAAAATAAAAATAGCGAAGTAAAACATTACTTCTTAAAACGACTTCGTTCCAAGTAAAAGTACTCCAGAAAAAGTTTACTTTGTTACATGCTCACTTCTCAAAAATAGTACTCAAGTACAGTAACGAAGTACATTTACTTCGTTACTTGACACCACTGGTGATCACAGTGGTAATTTTGTATAGGGGCTTCGGTGTGGTTAGCGCACTTGCCTTTCACCTCTAAGGCCGCAGGTTCGAATCTCAGTGAGAACTTCTCAGACTTCTCAATGTGACTCGAACCCAGTCCTCATGTGAAAAGAGTAAAAGTCGACGCTCTGCCGGAAGTCGTGGGTTTTCTCCGGGTACTCCGTGTTTCCTGCCACAGGGAAAGTTGACAGGGTGGGTTAGGCACATAGGTCTGGAGGCAGATCATTAATGAGGTACGCGGACTAATAGCGGCTGCTCAAGCGCCATTTGTAAGCTCAAAGTCTACCTCGGTCTGCTTCACATCAGTCCGGTTCTATCTATCTATTCATAATGTAACCAGTCACTGAAAAGCCCTATAGGGAGTGTGCTGTGAAATATCTGTATCTGTATAAGTAAATTCTAAACTCTGAAGGATTTGTAAGCAATGCCGGTTTGAGGAAACAAACTCAGTGTCTTAAGTCACGCCGATAACTTGAATTTTGAATTTGAATTTAATAATTTGCCACAAAAAATATACATAATTACATTAATATAGTTACAAAAGTGGCGAGGAAACCCAAATAAAAACCATAAGGCTTATAAGGACTTTGGGATCCTCCTGACTACAACACACAGCAAACGTTTATATAATAAAGTGACAGAAATTAGACGTACATATAAATGACTATAACACTAAAGGCATACAGTACAACTATAATACAGAAAAATTTACAAGATACGTACTGGAGAAGAATTTACAGAAAAATTTACGAAATACTGGATAAGTACATTTTTAATTTAGACTGGAACAAGGAAACAGTTGAGGCATCACAAATATCTGAACTTAATGAATTAAAAAATAAGGGACCTTGATAACTTGCAGAACACTGTCGAATTTTGGTTCTACAAGTAGGAATATAATATTGTTTAGATCTGCGTGTATTGTATGTATGAATTCGATTGATTTTTGTAAATGAGTTATCAAAAGTTAGAGGAAGTAAATTATTATTGTATTTGTACATAAATGTGCCTAATTGAAGTAAGTAGACATCGGTAAATTTCAAAATGCATAATTTCAATGTCGCAAAGATAGACTCACTGCGATTTTTGCGATAGCGATGTCTGCCGCCTGCGTTCCGCGACTATCGCGATGATTACGATTTAATGGAAACCAGGCTTTAAGGCCCACACAGACCGAACGCGATTCGACAACGCGACGCGAATTTTCAGTTTTTTTAAAAAAATAAAACCGTCACCGGATAAAAATTTCACAAGATATGCAGACCAAATAGCTAAAATTGCTTAAGTTGTTCCAAATATTTGAAAAACATAGGAAAATATTAAAGTTAAATGTTATTGAAAATTGAAAATTCGCGTCGCGTAGCCAATTCGCGTCCGGTCTGTGTGGGCCTTAAATTTCTTGCAAATCTTTCACAACTGTATAGGTCTAGGAATTTACCGATGCAAAACTCCTACTGAATCGTGATCGCAAGATCAGAAATTTTGATAGTGCGAAACTGCCGCTTGATCAATACTTAGCCTACTATTATAAACGTCGTATATATGCAAACTAGACTCTAGAGTATTCCACTTAAAATCGCATTCCCTGAAGGCTTTAAGTTAAGGCTGTTGTAAGCCACAATTCGAAGGCATCTCACACATGCGAGAACGCGGACTTATAAAAACAAATCCCATCAGATATAACAAGCTTAAACGTATCTGAGATCTTAAATACGAGCCCGGCCGACTCATCGAGTGTGTGTGTTTTCGAAGCAAGCGTTCATAAAGATGAAGTTTATGGGGAAATTATTGGCTTTACTTGTCACAGGTTGGTGTGTTTTGACTATTTTCGAGCCTTCAGTTTAGAAATGGTCTTTTGTTGTAATTGAGAACAGTTTTGGGTTTCAATCTGTGTATTAGGAAGAGATATACATCATCATATACAGCGATCAAGGTCAAGGCAATATATAGAACGCTTATCGCTTTCTCTAGAACCAAATGAAATTGATGAATCCTTCTGCCTTATATTTTTATGAAAATTCGCGTAGATTGTACGCGCGTAAAATATTAAAATTGCGCGCAATATAATCTGCGCTAAAAAGTTACTGCAGATGCGCAAAAATAATCAGCGTATGAACATTTGTCATCGCAAACTATCAGTTAAGAAACAAATTAGAAATTATTCCATATAACGTATATTTAATATTTCGTAAGCCATTATACGCGTTGCTACAGTTACTTAAAGAAACTGCCCTGTTTATATTTCTCTTGGGATTTTTCAGTTCAGGTGTCTTGGAAATTTTAAGCAGCACTTCGAGAAAGTATCCAATGTCATTTTGACACATGTGTGCATTCAACATCTAAGAGTGATTTTCTATTTTCGCACCGTTTCAGGATTCGCGAAATTTAAAGTGCGCAAAACTATGATATTTTATAGGGTGTGTGAAATTAATGAGATTGGAATCGATAAGGTAGTTTTACTTGGTTTAAAACTGTAGAGCTCAGCAGTGTAAATAAAGCTAGTTAATTTAAGTTTTTTTTATTTCCTGTAGTATAACACCGCTAAATCGACAAGGGATGATTCTTATACTGGACGTCAAGGGAGAACAGTTTAGAACTTATAAAGCTATCCAGTATAAATAAAGTTAGTTTAGTTTAGGTTTCCTCCTGTAGTAACACTGGATCAATAAGAGATGATTCTTACTGGACCTCTAGGGAGAACAGTTTAGAACTGATGGAGCATAAATAAAGTTAGTTTAGTTTAGGTTTCCTCCTGTAGTAACACTGGATCAATAAGAGATTAGGAGATGATTCTTACTGGACCTCTAAGGAGAACAGTTTAAAACTAATAGAACTATCCAGTATAAACAAAGTTAGCTAACTTAATCCTTCACTGGATCAACAAGGAATAACTCTCACTGGACCTCCAGGCAGAACAGTTTAGAACTGATGAACTGGTCTTTGCCAACGGCCTTTTGACCTCCCGTTACTTATAAATCTCATCCCACATATAGTGTTTGTTTTAATGATGCTATGTAAACATTAGCCTAAGTAAGTGAAAAAAGACATGAAGAGATCAATATTTACACAATTATAAATGTTTATGTAAACATGTTTACCAAAGTGTACCTCAAATCGTCACTCCAATATAGACGAGGATATTAAATAGAACTGAATTACTTGGTTGGATAGCGCTAACAATTCTAAACTGTTTCCCTAGAAGTCCAGTAAGCGACATGCAGTCAGCAGTGTTACTTATTACTACAGGAGGAAACCTAAAGTAAACTAACTTTATTTATACTGGATAGCTCTATCAGTTCTACACTGTTCTTCCTAGAGGTCCAGTAAGGATCATCTCTTATTGATCCAGTGTTACTACAGGAGGAAACCTAAACTAAACTAACTCTATTTATACTGGGTAGATCTATCAGTTCTAAACTGTTCTTCCTAGAGGTCCAGTAAGAGTAATCTCTTATTGATCCAGTGTTACTACAGGAGGAAACCTAAACTAAACTAACTTTATTTATACTGGGTAGATCTATCAGTTCCAAACTGTTCTCCATAGAGGTTCAGTAAGGATCATCTCTTATTGACCCAGTGTTACTACAGGAGGAAACCTAAACTAAACTAACTTTATTTATACTGCATGGGTAGATCTATCAGTTCTAAACTGTTCTTCCTAGAGGTCCAGTAAGGATCATCTCTTATTGATCCAGTGTTACTACAGGAGGAAACCTAAACTAGACTAACTTTATTTATCTGGATAGCTCTATCATCCCTGGAGGTCCAGTAAGGATCATCTCTTTTTGATCCAGTATTACTACACGAGGAGACCTAAACTAAACTAACTTTATTTATACTGAATAGCTCTATCAGTTCGAAACTGTTTTCTCTAGCGGTCCAATAAGCGACATGCAGTGTTACTACAGGAGGAAACTGTAGCAGTTGGAGAAAATCTGCGGTGTTTTAAAATGAGACAATTAGTAGGTCCCAAATTTGGGCTTAAAACAAGTCGACTTCGTGTCTTTTAGTCGCATAGCGTATAAAATGACGCTAAATGCCGAAGTACAAATATAGGCATTTAAAATTAGAACTAATCCGGGAAGTTTGTTTTTAATAAAGCCAATTATAGCAAATTTAGAGGCATACCGTAAGTTTTTCTGATAATGATCTTGTTAATTAATGAAAGAAAATGAAAGATGAATGCTATCTATAAAAAAAGTAAATTGTTAACATGTGTTTTAAAGATTTAGTCTTTGGATTTGTGTCAAGAAATTAAAGTCAGGTCACACGGTTGCGCATATACGCATGCTCAATGACGCGGTCTGAATTTCAGCTCAAGAATAAGTGCTAAGCAATTGCTAAGCAATTTAATTACTGTAATAATGTTTGAAGCTTTTTCAAATAACCATACAAACAGTTAAGTACTTAAGTTCGCCTAAAGAAATGCAATGTTTGCTATAATTTCGACTTTAAGTAACACCACTTATTGGAATTAATTTTCCCGTTGCTTGAAAGACGTGATAATGAGTAGTTTAACGTTGTGTTGAAAATGACAAAGCCGTTGAGAATACCCCTAGGTCAGTAGGAGGCTAGGACCACAGTCCACAAATTCCTCACAGTTTTTGTCTTGCATGACAAATTTCTCTGTTTCGAATTGGGGTGGGGGGGTGAATAGGTTTTCGGATCGTCGGATTTAACAGAAAAAATTGTTCGGATTTCGGATCTGGCGAATTTTTATACGGGTTTGCGGATCTTATTAATACAGCGGATTGCGGATTTATCTAATATTTTGGCTCGGATTGTGGATTTAGCTTGCAATTTAGTTCGGATCCTGGATTGTGACTTCGTGGTAGAGCTTTTAGCGGATTCAAATTTAGACAAGACCATTGTCGGATCGCGGATTTTGCTTCAAATTTGAGCGGATGGGCGGATTTGTATACCCCTATTCCCCCGCGAATTAAGCACATCGTTGAGACTGGTCCATGCACTAGGGAGAACAGTTTACAACTGATCTATAGTTTTTTCTCAGATGAAAATCTCGAGTGTGAATTTTAATACATTTAATAGACCTAACCAGAAGCAGTTTCACAACTGCAATTTTTGGCCCTCTTGCAGGAGTCGAACCTGCTGCTCTGCGATTCCGGTGTAGCCTGCATGGCAGGCGGTCTAAAATACCCAGGCTTGCCCAATTTTAGGAACCGCCTGCCATGCAGGCTAATTCCGGTGCAGCGCTCTAACCAACTGAGCTATAAAGCGCTCGACAACTAGACTCTGTAGCTCAGTTGGTATCGACTAACCATAGCCTATCGAAGGGAAGATGGCTGTGAAACTCATTAGAATAACAATATAACTCATTATCTATGTTAGTCAACGTTTATTCATAAATCTGGTCGTTTCACCGTCACGTGTGTATTGTATTATTACCAAATCCACCAGTAGCAATTTCCAGTTCCCTATTGTTCGAGTCACGGATAGGTGACTTTCCTAAAACATTGCTATTGATTAGTTGGGCAAGAATACAATACACACGTGACGGTGAAGGACCAGACTTATGAATAAACGTTGACCAACATAGATAATGTTATATACATTATATTGTTATTCTAATGAGTTTCACAGCCATCTTCCCTTCGATAGGCTATGGACTAACCAAACACCATATAAAATAATTTCTCTTTTTGTTCTTTTGGTGAAATAGTGTGAATGTCATAGCTCATAATTGTAAGAAGCTTATACACCGTGACGTGCGGTTAACACCCACAGAATCAGACAACTTGACATGCTGAACCATTGAGGTCAAGTGCTTTGGGTGTAAGAAAATTGAGCAACTAAAATACGATTTTTATAAAATGTTTATGAAAATCGAATAAATTACGCCCAATGAAGACGTTGTCACAAATGCCCAAAGTACGAGGTGGCAGGGCGGCGTTCTAGTCCGATTTCCGTAGCCTTGCATTACAGTTTATTTAGTACATAGTTACCAAAAGTATCAAAATTGCATTTCCGTTTCAGGTTTTGTTAATGCGACTTAAATCTTAATTGCATTTTTTAAATAAGAACATTATTCACGGAACATTTCTAAACTGACTTCGTTTCACTACCAAATATGGCTATATATAGTACCGTAAATATGACTTTGTTTTTCACTGGTTTACAGTTCTAAACTGTTCTCTCTAGAGGTCTAGTAAGGGTCATTCCTTTTTTATCCAGGGTTACTGCAGGAGGAAATCTAGCCTGCAGGGCAGGCGCTGGCGGGTTGGGAGAGGCCGGAATTTAATTAATCTAAACTAACTTTACTTGCACTGGGTAGCTTTACTATGTTCTAAACGTTTCTTCCTAGAGGTCCTGTAAGAGTTCTGTCATATTGATCCAGTATTACTACAGGAGGAAGCATAAACTAAACTAACTTTATTTAAACTGGATAGCTCTATCAGTTCTAAACTGTTCTCTCTAGAGATCCAGTAAGGATCATCTCTTATTGATCCTGTATTACTAGAGGAGGAAACATGAACTAAACTATTATTTATACTGGATAGCTCTATCAGTTCTAAACTGTTCTTCCTAGTAAAGGTTCAGTAAGGGTCATCTCTTATTGATCCAGTGCTACTACAAGAGGAAGCATAAACTAAACTACCTTTATTATACTGGATAGCTCTATTCTAAACTGTTCTTCCTAGAGGTCCCGTAAGGGTCATGTTACTACAGGAGGAAACGTAAACTAAACTAACTTTATTTATACTGGATAGATCTATCAGTTCTAAACTGTTCTCTGTTGTGGTCAGTCGTTCAAATTTCAAAACTGATCCAACCTACTTCATTCAATACCTTCTAGTTGCCACGGCAACGATGAGTGACGTCATACCAGAAATCCAGAGCGATCCACCGTTATCACTACGTACCACCTTAAGGAAGTTCTCAAAGACACGACATCACGTGACCAACCCACGCAGCAAAGAAAAAGCAAGGAAATATATTAAGAAAATGTTTACAAAATCTGGGCTGCATGTGTGGTCCGAGTATATTGATACAATACCGGTAAGATATTAGGGATTGTTGCAGGGCTAAGAGATGCAGCCGAGTTAAGGCGCTGTTTATATATACACTATGCAATTTGTCTCGTAACTTGTCTCGCAATTTTGTTGCGACACAAGTTGCACGCGAAATTGCAAAGTGTATCATGCCTCGCACTCAACAAGTCTCGCAATATTTTTGTTGCAACAACCATTGCACGAAGTAGAATCTGGTTCTACATTTTTAGAGCATTGCACAATGTAACACCCCTCTTGTAACTAGTCTCGCAACGCTTATGCACTTAATGGCTTCCTATTGGCTTTTGACTGACAATATGGCGTCAGACGTTAGCGACAGGTTTTATACTATTTTTAATGATCATTGCAAGCGGCGTGGAACATATTGCTTGGTGTAACATCTCTTGCAATGCAATCCTGAAATCGTTTAATTTCTTAACATTGCGAGACAAGTTCCGAGATAAGTTGCTTAGTGTAACAGCACCGTTAAGCCGAATTCTATTTCATTCTCCCATCAGTCTATACGAGGTGAAAACATTGTCGGCATGTTGGAAGGAAAATATACAGGGACCGCTGATGACAGAATAGTGATTGTGGGCGCACATTACGATACGACCAGTCGAACACGGGGTGTCGACGACAATGGATCGGGTGTAACAGCCTTGCTGCAGGTTGCCAAACAAATAGGTATGGAATAGACCGATTCGATGTAATCACTTCCGCCTTGTAATAGAATACCTCCAAGACCATAGTTTTACAAAATATAATACCATGTATTCTCTAAAAAAAATGAATCTTAATAATATCGGAGTTTCTGCTAGATTTAGCAAAGAAGACTGACTGGCTTCGTTCGATTGCTTTTTAAATCTTGAACTCTTATACCTTGACTTAAATAGCAGTCTCTTCTGAAAAAATTGTTTGTTAGCCTGGTAATGCATAAAATATAAATTATTTTTCACCCTGCTCGGTTTCCTTTGTTCTTATCGGGGAATATATTCAATATTCCCCTCTAAACAATTTCCGTTTAATAATCCCCTCTAATATTCACCTGCAATTAATAAGCCCCTCTAATATTCACCTGCAATGTCTTTGCAGCACAAAAAAATGAGAAAAAAACAACATAACGAAGGCAATATGGCATTACGAATTATTTCTATTCTGACTCATTAACGCGACCTCGCAGTGTGAAAAATAAGTACGTTATTTTGAGGCACCTCGGGGATGTGTTTATTCACCTCGGCGCTGGGCGCCTCGGTGAATAAATCACATATCCCCTCGTTGCCTCAAAATAACCTATACATAATGCAAACTTGTGGCTGAAGACATCCCCTGGGCCCTGAATATTACTAAAAATCATATTTGCTGATTTAATAAAGCAAATTACTTTTTGTCCCCTACTTAGGCAATTCTGGCTGCAGTTTCAAAAACACGATCCTTTTTGTGGCTTTCGATTTCGAAGAGGACACGGCGGAATCAGAATATCCCATTCCGTTTGGTAGTGAATATTTTGTACGCAACCTAACCCAGCACCTCAACCGGACGGGCGGTACGATCAAAGGAGCGTTAGTTCTTGAAATGTTAGCAAACCATAACACCACCAGAGGTAATTGTGTTTTTATATGCTTTTTCCCTCGGTCATTCTGCGCTACACACGTAAAAACGCACAAGTTGTACAGCAGACTTGTAGCGATGCTGTTCCAGCAACTTGTCAACAGGATGTGTTCGCACTGCTTGTTCCCCAGCTTACGGACAAGTTGTCCACGACTTATCGACAACTTGCTACAAGGCTGTTGATCTCAACAGACTGTTACAAGTTGTTCCAACAACTTGTTATCGTCCTGCAATTCGACAATTTGTCAACACGTTGTAGGAACTTGATAAAATAACAGCATTGTTACAACTTGCTGACAAGCGTGATATTTCGAACACATCTCGGTTGAAACCGTTCGCAAAGGCAGGTAGTCTTAAAGGGAAATGGCAATATATATTTTTATTTTATCGTTTGAAAGAACATTTAAAACCATATATACAACTCTTTTACCGTTTTTTCATATCTTGCTTACTTCCACAAATATTTTAATCGAAAGAAATGAAATGTCCGCCATCTTGGATTTTTGTAGATATGCATGTTACGTCACAACAGGGGTCATGCAATATTTTTATCTAGACAACCACTAATCATTTTGCACTCAGAATATATTATACTTTGTATGCCCTTGGAAGTATCAAAATCACTTGAAACCTTTAAAACATCTACCAATCAATATTTGGTCAGCGATGAATACTTTTATATGGTTAATCCCTGTTGTGACGTCACCAAAACTACCGTCAATGAGATAAAAAATTTATCCAAGATGGCTGATATATCATTACTTCAAGTGTAAATATTTCAAGAACTAAGCAAGATATGAAGAATCGGTGAAAGAAGTTATTAAATAGTTTCAAAAGTTCTTTCAAATGCGAAAATAAAAAAATATATTGCCATTTCCCTTTAAAGGCACAGTTCAGCCTGTTGAACGATGGTTTTTAAGGCGCATTTCAGCCCTTTTAATTGAAAAAACTAACTAGGAAAATCAATTAAGCATA